CATGAATTATTTTCCCTTTATTCATCATCATCACCTCAGTTGCCCTCAACATTTGTAGAGCGTATATCATATATCAAAGCACTTTTTGAATAGTTTTAACCGAATACAGGGGTGGGCAAAAGTAGGTTTTACAGATGTTTCTATGGAAAAATAGAAAACACAAGAATAAACTCTGTGTTTCATGTACTCACAACTGTAAACCTACTTTTGCCCACCCTGTAGACACAGGAATTATAACTGACATTTATCAAATAATCATAGCATTGTTTAATGTAGTGCTTCTTAAACTTTAACGTGCTACTCATCACCTGGAGAGCTTGTTTAAATGTAGATTCCGGTCAGTATGTCTTGGGTGGGACCCAATCGTTTGCATCATGTCTAGATCCCAGCTGATACCAAGGCTGTTGGTCTGTGGACCACACTTAAGTAGCAAGGGAGTAACATTAATTGAGTGCTTACCATATGCCAAGGGCTCTTAACCACAAAGGAAGATAAGATACCTGTTCGAGAGATGAGAAAATTATACAGCCTGAACTAGAACGCACTCCTCTGACTTCTGGTTTACTTATCTTCAACTACACCACTCTTGCTAAATTTTGGAACCTGTTCTCTACTCTGGGGAGGTGAGCAGCCATTAATTTTTGATATTTTCACAATTAAACAATATTCTGCCAAAAGTATAACTTTTATGTTGTCTTTCTAAATATAAATCTTAAAACCAGTTTCCTTCAAGGTCAACATGAGTATTGTAGTTCTAATGTATAGAAACTAAGTAGACAAGACAATTTTTCATTTCTTCGCTCATCTGTTAAAACTTAACATTTAGCTAAACTATGCATTTATGGTTCAATGCATTTTATCCTTGCAGATTCTGTGACATTGAAACTCTACCCTTTGCTTTAGTGGAAGGCCTCATTTTCTATTCCTGGAGCTAGGAGCATTCTGTTTGACATTTGATGCCCATGAGATTTTTATAGAATCTAGGTTATAAGACTGAGTCTCTTGCCGCATATTTTTGAATAGGGATCTGTGTTACCTCTCCCAGAGGTGTTCCGCATTATACTATTCTTTGAAATGGTTTTGATCATTTAAAAAGAAGCCTCCAGTGATAAAACCTTTTGCAAAATAATCACCATTGATTATAGAGCTTTTTATTTGTTTTAAAGAGAATTTGTTCAGAGGAAAGAAAGCTATAGTGATCCCCTTTATTACCCTTAACTCAGAGTGAAAGACTGTACTGATGTTACAATGATAAAAGGAAAAAAATCTTTCCTACTGTAAACTTCAGTAAAAGTAGAAGATTCTTTATATTTTTGAAAAGATAAATCAGTAAATGTGTTTAAAAGGAGTAGAGTATATCATTCCACAAAAAGGCTTTAGTTCAAATACAATATATTAAAAGTTGCCTTTCTAATAATTCCAACAAAGACACGCATTTAGTTATTTAATCTTCTAAAATATACAATACATAATTCATTTTGATAATGTATTGAGAATAGACTCATCTAAATTATTTTATTCTCAGAGACAGAGGAAAATTAATAGTAAAATGTTTGGTGTTTCACAAAATGAGATGTCCTAATGTAATTGCTACCTATACTGTACTCTTAGCACAAAATCATAGTAGCTATAGGACATTTGTTTTATATATGTCTATATAAGCTGGCCAATTCGATTTCTTTAACTTGAAATTTGATTAAGTTTAGAACTTACTGTCTGAAATATAATATAAATGATAAATATTCAAATCTAATAGGACCACTCTAAATTATACAAATCTCCCAATAGTAATGCTGTTTTACTCCGAAGTTTCTTCCACTGTTTAATACAGTGACTAACACATGATAGGTGCACACAAAAAAAGTGTGTATAGGAAAAAAAAAGTGAATTAATTTTGACTAAGCCAAGTGAAAATAATCTTCAAGTAAACAATGTATAACGATGAATATAAAAATAATAAGGAAAGCTAACCTTGGACAAATCTTTGCTATGTGCCACACACTGTGCCAATAATGACAGTAAATGTTACTTTATGTAATCTTCACAAGACTATTGTGTGGTACACAGTATTTTTTTTCCCCCTCAGAAAACAGACCTCATAGATTGGCATCCCCAAATAGCACAACTAGGAGGTGTTAGAGCTCACAGTCTCCCACAGCCACCGCACGCTTTCTTTCCATCTCTAAACTTTAGATTAGAGTTTGCCTTAGTACTATACTGGTCACCTCTTAGGTAAAATGTAGATATTACTTAAAAATTCTTGAATTTAATTTTATGGCAATAAGGTAAGAATGTTTGTTTTTACAATTAAATAAACATTTACATAATTTACATCTTGATTTTTCCAAAAATGCTAGGTAAGATTTTACTCTTTATTCTGTTTATTCATTGTCATAATCACTATTATTACCACATAATTTTTATCATCCTTGATATTATGAGATGTCATGCTTACTGTATAATTACTCTGTTCTGGCAGTGTATGAAGTTATTCACCTCTACAGATTTATCTTTTTTATTGCTTTAGTAGTCATCAACAGTGATTGTGGGTTTTGTTTCTTGTTTTTTTGGCTCTTATGGGCCAGGCATATATGCCAAATATTTAAAAAGTCATTTACATGTGATACAATATCATAGGTGTGTTTTGAAGCAATTTCATTGCTTTATAAAAGATAATATTTCCAAAAATACTGGAAAGTAAAACCTTATCTTTCTATTAGCATTTCCTAAGGAATGATACTGAAGAAGAGGTTTGTCTTAAATTTTATAGGCTAGTTCTGTTAAGGATATAAATGAAGATTTCATGCAATTATTTTTCAGTTTGCCAAATTAAATTTCTAATATATCCATGGTAGATTTGATATTTGAGTTTGGGCATACAAAAGCTGTTTTAAATTAATAATTCTATTGAAGAAACAAAGAAATACACAACAGTGATGCATCCTACGTGTCACATTGTCGTTCATACATTACCCATGTTGTTGTTTTTTTTTAGAATGCTTTTTATTTTCCATAAAATTTATCTGTTTACTTCCAAAGCTTATATCGTCCTCAGGATAAGTGCAACAAATTGGCTAAGGAATCATTATAGTTGGGTCAAATATTACTTTTTATATTTGGTTATTGACTGCACATTGACACAATTTGGTTGGTTCACCAAACTTTTTCGTATTTTGACATTATTTTCATCAAGAAATGCATGAGATTGTATCCAAAGCTTTTGGTGCTTTAACCTTTTGCTTCACGCAGCTTTCTTTCACTGAAGATGAAGGGATTAGTCAAGCGCTTAAAACTTCTCCTCCTCAGGTTTTATGTATTCTTTTTTCTCACTCAAAACTCCTGTTATTTGGTACTGGGGACAGAATTTTTTTTTTAAATTGTCTAAATCAAAAGAAATTAATTAGACAGGAAGATTGACTTTCATTTGTTTGCTTCTGTTTTGTGATGTTTGTTATTGTTCTCTGTTTGTAATTGGTGCCTATGTGATATGACAGTCCAGGAGTTACATTGTGCTGACATTGATTTAATATAGCAAAAGTTGTGAAGTTTGTATCATTCTAGCCAGAGACAACTACTGGTGCATGTGACATTGGAAGTATTAAGTATCTTTATTTTAAGCCCCTTTAAAATAATTTTAGGTATTCCAATTAGGGTTTTATGACAATTTACTAAGGGTCAGCTGAAACTAAAAATTATATTACGAAGATTGTAAAAATTCTATAACTCAGAAATCCCATAATAAATTCTGCTTTAATGAACATTGCTGATAGTATTAGGATTTATTTTAAAAGATTTAAGGGTCCTATTTTATAATATGATAAAACTTTGTGTCTGTTTAAACCTAAGTGTAATCATACACTTAAAATCCAAGAAAGAATATTTTTCTAATCACCATACACTCCCCCAAAATTCCATTCTGGTGATCATGGACCAAATATTGCCATTACCTTAATCTGTGTAAAGAAGAAATTAGATGTTTAAATTAAAGGAATGGAATAATGCTGGGATATTTAATTATAAAATTTTGTGTTTAAGAATTAAAGCAACATTGCAATTTTTTAAAAGTTTATCAGTAATACTTTTTATAATCAGGATATTAATTGTGTATGTAAATACCATTCTCAATGCAATATTTTTTTCAATATCTGTTATTTTTACTAGGTGTTGTATAAAATAACATTTAAAAATTCTCTAATCATGGTTTAAAAAGAAATATAAGCACTACATACTTTACTGGCAGCCCCAACAATGCAAGTATTATTTGTCAACATTTCTGAATGTGTCCAAAGCAATTGGTAAAGATTTATTAAGTAATCATATTATATTCAAATAAAATGTTAATGCAAACAATAGTCTTCTAATTTGCTCATATTGTGAGCAAATCTGGCTGACGGTATATATTGTTGTATATTTACAAAATCCAGTCAGTGTTTCTTCCTAAATTATCACTTAATTAGATTTGATTAAGAGAGGCCATTAAACTTCAGGGTATCTCTTGACTTCTGCTTATAGGATGACAAAGAACTGTGGTATATAATTTTTAACCTTATTTATTACATTATTTCTACTAAAATCACTAGTGAAAGTAAACCTAGGATTTTAAAAAGGCCCATCTTTGTTCCAATCTTTTGTGTGCTGTATGTTTTAAAATACCTATCAAGTATTTATGCCATAATTATAGCCACATATGTTTCCAATACTGACTTACTAAAATTAACTAATTAAAGAAAATAATTTTAGAGTAAGATTTACCCAGGTTGAGATTTTTTGAGACTAATGCTTTTGGTTGGGGAGGTTGGACAAAGAGTTTTGAGAACTGCTTTAAGACTTTAGTAAAGTGAAGTCTGTGGGTTAAGCTGGTTTTTGTGAATGTTAGAATGAAGACTAGTTAATTTCCTGGGAGCAGGAGGGATGAGGGGGTCAGTGGCAAGCCTGTTCACCACTGAGCTGCTTTACAATCCCTTGTATTATAAACAGTCTACCTTTGTCTTGTCTTTCAGTCCTCCACAAGCAACCCAGGGAAGTGTGTCTCTGTTTGCTGGAGCTGGGCCGGATTGCAGCCAGGTAGGTCAGCCTACCGCTACTGTGTTAAGACATGGACGCTCTCTGCATCCAGGCCTGTGGAAAACCCTGAAGACTTTTGTTGCTGGTGTTGAATCTGTTGAGAAAGCTTTCCTTCAAATATGGTCAACAGCAACATCTCAAGAACAATCATTCAAACTAAATGCATGCCACCAACATTCTTAACATCATGGTCCTGTTGTCAAAGCCACTCTTTCTTGGGGGTTGGGAGAGAGTCCTGTACATAAAGTTTTATGTGACGATTGCTCTTTCATTATTGGAAAGTCTATTCCCATTACTTTCTTTCTTTAATCCTTCATCCCATCTCTCCCTTCTTTACTCTTTATTAATAATGTTTAGCCTACTCTTTTGTTCATTTTTCCTCACTTTTCCCCCATTCAGCATCTCATCTCTCAGCTGCTTTGTTTCTAATACTGAGTAGGGAAATAGTTTTTAAATTATTCTCCAATTTTGATTAGAGAAAGACATAGAATATTATAATTCTTATGCAGAGACATCTTGGGAATCTGTTTCCTGGCAAAAACAATCAAGAAGCAATTGTGGAAATCATAATGGTATTTAAATAAGCGGAGGAAGGGACTTTATTAGCTAGCTGACTTTATCTCATGTGTTCTTGCAAATCATGAAGCAGGGCTTCTGACAGTTCTATGAAGCCAGAAAAATTAGAAATGAAGTTTTAAATCTTTGAAGATGTCTTAATGCAAAATTAAAATCAGGTTAAATTAGAAAATGTTTTCTCATCCAGATCTGGGGTACACTTTTACAGTTGAGATCAGATTAACCAATACAATAAAATAAGAGCTAGCTTTGGGTATAAATTCGCAAAGAGAAATTTATAAAGAAAATCAAGGAAAAGAAAATACAGGTGTGCACATTAGCAAATTGCAGCAATTGGTAGAAAACATTCAGCCAATAAATAGACCTTTTTGATTTAATAAAAAACCTGTAATCAAGAGAAGTAACCCCAAGTTCTTTAAAACATTGTAGTCAGCGTTATTTTAACAAGTATACCAGGTATGCATTTTACTTTACCATAGTAATTGGGTGAGATGACAATTTCTTTAACTCAATTTTTTTTCAAATTGAATATGGCTGATATTCCACTTTACTTGTAGTGAACAAATCAATCTGAGATGTTCGGAGCTTTCTCTGTGCTCTCCCACACCTTTCTCAGATAGGTGTGTGAAGGCCTTTCGAGACGGTTCCCCAGTTAGTCCTCTCAGGTCTTGACGAATCAGGCATAGTTCAAGCTTGTAGAGCCTGGCTGTTACTGAGAACTCCCTTCCCTTTCTGTGTTGCCTCCTTCTTGGGTTCTGTGAGGGAGCAAGACAAAGGTACCTGTTGCTTCTAGAAGTCTGCCAAGCTACCCTTCCACCAGTCTTGGGGCTTCTGGCCTCTAGGAAAAAAAGCTTTGGGTCAAAGGAATACCAAGGACTCAGCAGATATCCCTTAAAATGGGGGAAGTTAAAAATACAGGGGGGAAAAAACACAAACAATAAAATCTCAGTAAATGACTTGCTGCCACTGAAATGCTAGAGCAAAAGAAACATGGTTGGTCTGTTCCTATGTAGCAGGTTAGGCAGAAAGCTCTTAGTTTAGTTGCTTGTTTTGATTATACTGTCAGAATATTCTAATGTGCCAGGTTATATATTGTTGCATTAATATTTTAACTATATGAATCTAATAAGCATCCATGAATCTGAAAGTTGTGATATAGAGGTAAAGAGAAGGAGTTGCATTATTCTACAAAGTTAGCTGGGAATTGTCATTTTCCTCTGTATCATTTATATTATTTGCCTGTTCTCTGGATTTATTTTATTTTTTGTAATTTTACTTTTTGTTACCTGAACACTGATTAGAAATTCTGCTGAACTGAATATTTTAAGTATGGTTGAATCTTCAAAGGAGAAGACATAATAGCCAATGACAAAATCCCATTAGAAATCATCTTCCCTCCAATTCTCTATCTGGCATAAATTGCCCCTTGCCACAGTGCATAAAGCAAGTTAAAGTCTTGGTTAATGAAAAGGAATCATAATGGTTAGGCCAATTTCAAGGCAAAGTATCATATGAAGTGTTCTACATTTTGTCTTTTTTTTCTCCCAAATATTTTAAAATTGAGATTCTGGATTGCTCCTTTAAAAAAACAACAACAACCCTGTATGGAGGTATAATTGACCTACACAAAGATATTTGTGTTTAATACATACAACTTGATGAGTTTGGAGATAAGTATACATCTATGAAAACATTACCACGATCTATGCTGTAACCATATTCATCACCTCCAAAAGTTTCCTCCTGCCACCTATTATTATTATTATTATTACTGTTGTTATTAGTTATGATAAGGGCTTGCTCCATTTCCCTCTGTTTATGATCATGGAAGCTGACAAAAGCAGTATTTATTCATGTTACAAACAAAATATTACTAATTTCATAAAGGAGCTAAGAAGTAAGATAGCCTTTACAATACACAATTTTTAAGTTTTTATTTTCTTCACCTGCTTGAGTGGTGTAAAGTAGTGCATGCTTACACTGAAAAAGAAAAAATATGCTAAGAGGTTATTCAGGGTGTTACTTTTGTTGTATGCAGTATAAGGTTAAACTGTTGAATATGAATTGGATAGCTTGAACATTTAAGTACCAGTGTCTGTTGAAGTTTCTCTCTGTACACATGTGAAGCTTTCTGTTTTAATAAAAGTTCAGTTGTGCTTTATAAACAGCAAACCAATAAACCTAAATCTTACTACCTTAGCCCTATGTTGAAGCATATTAGTTAAAGGGAAAAAAAGGGAAACTTCATCTACTGATCTCATTTTACTCCATTTTTAAAATATATATTAAACTTATATCTAGGTCCTTATTTTGTGCTTCCTCCTCTCCCAACTCCTTTGTGGAGGGTACATAAATTATTAAGCTAAGACAGTTTTAGTCAAAACTAAAAGTGATTTTGATAGAGCTCTCAAGAATCACAACAGTCACTTGTACACATAGCAGATGAGTTTTGAGCATAACGAAGTTCCCAATACAATCTTGTGAGTTTTTATTTTATCACTGGTAGATGATGCTTTTTTTTGTACTGCATTCTGAACAATCCCTTCTCAAATTATATAAATGTCACCTTAAAAGCACTGACATCCCTTCAGACATGACTGGCAAAAAGTTTCTGATTCTCTGCGCTATTCTGTGTGGAGCACTCTGTGAGGCTCCTTTGAGCGCTGTGGGCTTCTCCGAGTGCTGAGAGGGGAGAATGAGACCACTTGGTTTTGCTCTCATGCGTAAAACTTCCTTTTATTTTCAACTAAAGAGAGCTATTATCACTGGAGAGTGAAATCCCTCCATTAATATTTCAGAGACCATGTCAGTTTCTGGGTGTAAAATATGCATGCTTGCCTTCTGAAAAGTAAAATATTCAGCAAAAGCAGGTCAGTAAAACTTTAACAATTTTTTTAATGATAGTAGTTTGATATTTGCTCCTAAAAAAAGCTACTTTGAATTAAACTTTTTTATAGACTACAGAATTAAGATTAGCTTTACAATAAAAGCAAAACACTTGATATTTTGGTTTGTGGCCATAATCAGTAATCAACATCGTAGTGGAATGTTTCATATTTTCATTTCTGAGAACTTTCTTGATTTTGAACAAAACTTATGACTATTCAAAAGAAATATAATTTACAAATAATTTTGTTGGTCTCCTATTTCAATCCATGGTGCAGTGAAATGTTACTTAAAATAAAAATATTTTTATACAAGGCTTATTAATAAACTCCTCTTAGTTAAAGCACTTGATTCTGACTACTAAGAATATGACATGTTTTCACATGGGTGAAATTTTCTTCCAAATCTAAATCTATCTTTCAATTACTTTAAGACAGAATGAAAACGATGAACTATCTTGCAAGAATCTGTAACCTGTTAACATGCTTTAAAAAGGAGTTTCTAAAATTTGTTCCTCTAACTCTAGTAAAATCAGCCTCCAATGTCTTTTGTTTGAAAACTATTGTCTCCTAAATAGTTTGAGTAAATTTTCTTGTTTGGGGCTCAATTCTTTTATCTAGAACAATCTCAAAAATGTGTCACATGCCAGAAAAATGTAACATCCATTTTTAGAATCTCATCATAAAGTCATTCACCGTAAGACCCTTCCCTAGCACTTTCTAATATTTTTTTAATGAGACAAAAACATATATTGCCCTTTTAGTATCCATCCTACCTTATCACTGGGATATACACAGATGTAAGGATTTGGTTTTAGTGGATTCAAGCTTCTTGCCTTAGTTAGATGCTTATTCAGTTTGAGAGCTACAGAGGCCCTCTCTCTCCCAAAGCTCTGAAACCTTGTAGTTGGAAAGGAGTAGAACATAGTATAAATTTGTGAAAACCTCATAGACAGACTAGAAATGTGAAGTGGTATAGAGTTAATCATAGAAACCATAATGCAGCAGCCTTTTGGGGAGCAGAACTAAAAGCCCTATTTGGTGACTAAGTTGGCTTGCAGGTGTGGGCCCCCAACCCTGGGGAATTTCATGATTTACAGCCTGTTGACATCTCCAGACAGACAGGAAGCCAATGAATCGTATTTAAGTGTGCATTTCTGGACTGGCTGACTGTACCTTAGGCAGCCTGAAGTTTTCAAAAGCCAATATAAGCAGAGATTTGGGGCTTAGTGTTGATTTTCTGCGTTCAGTGGCATAGCTAATTTTCAGCCTTCCCAGATAAAAAAAAAATCTCCAGGGCAAGGTTCCATGTGTGACTGTGTTACCAATTTCATCCAAATTTAATCTACTTTGTATCAGACATTGCGTGAAACCTATTGTCACTCTAATAGTGCATTTCTTATTTCACTTCATAAAGAAAAGAGAAGAAAAAAAAATATGTAACCTGTTCCTGAAAGGTGGCATGAATCCACCTACAATTACAAATGAAATCATATTTTCCAATAGACCTACTTTATACTTTCAAATATGATGTTTTCACTTAGGATTGATATTTAATTGGCTGTGACTTCTAGTCTTTTAAATTCCTCTACTTGCACTGCCCAGTGTATGTTATTCTCTTAAGAACATTAAACATAAAATTTTATACCTTGATAGAACTAGGAATTCAAAAGTCTAGGGAAATTAAGAAAGAGTTGCCTGCTGAAGTTCATCCAGTGAGTTAGTAGCAAAGCTGACTTTATAACTTGGTGTTCTCCGCTCCAGCACTGAGAGATTTCTACTATTCCACACCTCTAGGAAAACTGATTTTAAAAAAGCCTATAATAAGTTTTATTTTTTTTGTAAAAGATACAAACAATATTAATATAAACAATATTAATGATATGTAAATCTTGATTTTGATGCTGTTATTTAATTTGGTGGTATACTATACTTTAAAAGTAAAACCTTCGGCAAAAGTACCTTAGTGTTACAGTTTTCTGGTTGTACAACATTTGAAACATCAATTAACAGCGATCTCAGAGCTTGGGACATACGTCAGAGGTGTGATAGGCATGCGATGGATACTGTTTTAATTCCTTCTAACCATAAGAAAATACAAGAATTAGAATTTCCATTTTACATTGAAATAAAACTGAGGCTCAGAAATAAAGTGAAGATGCCCCAGTGTGTCAGACACATGTATGTTGTTCAACAGCAGTCGCTTTTCTAATGTTCTCTCTCTGCTCTCCCTCCACTCCTCCCTCAGTCCTCTAGGGCAGACCATTTTCACCTTTGCTTTCTTGATGGAAAGCAGACTCCTTGAGGTTAAGTGATTTGCTAAATTTAAAGAGCAGGTTAATGACACAGGTAGCTCGCGTCTACCTCAGGGAAGAATGATGCCCAAATCTTCACGTGAGCATTGTTGGTACTTGTCAATGGTAATGAAATGATGGGTTGAGTTCAGTGTAATTAATAAGTATTAGAAAGTAAAAAAAAAAAAATGTATTTTAGTTTTGGATAGGGTGTAAAGTCATCCAGAGCAGTGGTCCCCAACCTTTTTGGTATCAGGAAATGGTTTTGTGGAAGACAGTTTTTCCACGGATGTGGCCGGAGCGGGAGGCAGGAGCGGATCTCAGGTGGCAAGCAAGCCAAGAGCTGCTCCCTCGTGCACCCGCTGTTCCCCTCCTGCTGCGTGACTGGTTCCAAACAGACTGTGGACCAGCACCAGTCCGCAACCCAGGGTTTAGGGACCCCTGATCTAGAACATTTTTTGGTAAAGCATTTATGTACATTTAATATTGACATGTTTTATTAAAGTGATATACACTTAAAGACCCCAAACACTGAAAGCAAATACATGTTTGGAACCCAAAATTATTGTGAAATGAGAATGCAGGAATTTTTTTCCCATTTAAATAGTAGTAAGTACCTCCTGTATTCCAGTGTCTGTGCCAGCTACTGCGGATGCTGTGAGTTAGACCGCAGTCTAGCACATGGTTGAACCAGTCCCATTATGGCTACATGTGTGAAATGTTAAAATACAACATGATAAATGGTGTCTCCGTCTTTTAGCCAATGATTTTTGTAACTACAAAATACTCCATTCAGTAGAGGCAGTTCTCAAAACAGCAATTGTTCAGTTGAGTTGATCCAGCTTAAACTTTTGTGTACTGAATTCTAGTGTTTTCCAGCACTCAAAGGACACCTGACACATAACACCTATCCTTACCATGTAAATCCTGAAAAAATTTAGAAAATAAATGAGTGGCAGATGGAACATCAAATACGATCATTATTGATGAGGACCAAGTTGACAGACATGCTTATTGTCTTTAACAGAACTGCAGGGTTAGGCCAATTAATTGCCTAATTGCAAGTAAAGATGAGTCAGGATGGAGGTTCCTACGGAGACCTCCCTCTGGGCAGTTTCTTCCCTAGAAGAAGGTAAACTGAGTCAAATGTGCTCATTTTATTCTTAGACTTACAATGTGATAAATCTTTTACTTATTGGAGAAGAATGAGTAATGAAGGAGAAAGGCCAGGAATTAAACTAATTGAGCACCTCTACAAGAATAAAACATTAAGAGAGAGAAAATTACTTTTCCATAGAAATACCTGGTAAACAGTTAAAATAGCAAGCCATTAGAATTTGATAATCATCTAAGCCTTTATATTTAACTCTGTTAATATGTTATTCATCTAAGATACTAGACATATTGTCAGCATATTTGTATTCTCTATCTATAGATTGTTTAATTTGTAGATTACCCATAATCTGTAACTTTTCCCTCCTTTCTAACACAGTCACCTGATTAAAATATCAGAGAAAACTGGCCTCAGTCCTTATGTCAGAGAACCTGGATTTACATCTTTGAACAGCTTCTATGTAGTTATACGTTCTCTGGATCTGTATTCTTACCTGTAAAAATGAAAGTGTATAACTAAATGAACTAAATGATATCAAAGGTCCTTCTTAGCTCTTAAAAGTCTGAAGTTATCTTTGGCCTCGTCCTCCTGGGTACAATTGATGTACATCTAAGAAATCAATGTGTTAGTTGCCCTGGCTGGTGTGGCTCAGAGGACTAAGTGCCGGCCTGTGAACCAGAGTCACAGGTTCCCAGTCAGGGCACACGCCTGGCTTGCGGGCCAGGTCCCCAGTAGGGGGCGCATAAGAGGCAACCACACACTGATGTTTCTCTCTTTCTCCCTCCCTTCCCCTCTTTGAGAATAAATAAATAAAATCTTTAAAAAAAAAGAAATCAAATCGAGTTTAAGTTTAGCTGAACAAAAATATGGTTATGGGAGGTAAGAATGATAAGAATGCTGATAACAGCTAATCTGTGTTTTTTAAAACTTTTATGGCATTTGTAATTTACAACACAATGTTTAACAAATTATTTTAAATTGTTTCTCTTCTCTGTTCATTCTCTTTCCTAGTAACACTAGACATGTTTTCATTATATTGTTCTTAAGAGAATAACCCATATATAATCCGTTGTTCACTGTCCCTGAGCCCTTAGGAGGTATACAATTAACAGTGAATTTCTTCTCTGTTAAATCATTTAAGAATGTTTATTTTGGGGGTTGCTGTTTTCAAACTTGGCTCTGACCAATTTTATTTCCATCTTTAACAAGGTTGTGTCCAAAATAGCAGTTCCATTACAGCACTAATATCATTTGCTACTAAATGTGAAAGTTGAAGACTAAATTTCATATTGTTATATATTATTAATTCATTGATATATTACCTGTAGTATTTTATTTAATTTTAGTATGTTATGTGTTATATGCCTGTTCATATATGTGTACACACACACACACACACACACACACTCACACAGCAGATATGTTCTTCCCCTGCTTAAAAAAGATGCCATTTAATAACTCCATTTCATGCCAGGAAAAGTTAGTGTTTTAAAAAAGTCATCAGTTCGTTCCTATAGTGTTCATAATCAAATGTAACATGGTAAGTGTATCATTATAAGTTATAAATGCATGATCCGGTATCTTTTAAAAGGTATGGTGTGGAGCCTCCTGGTTTGATAAAATTGGAAAAAGAGATTGAACAAGAAGAAACACTTTCCGCCCCTTCTCCTTCGCCCTCCCCTTCATCAAAGTCTTCTGGAAAAAAGAGTACAGGAAACTTACTGGATGATGCAGTAAGTAAAACGGGTCTGACTTCTTACTACCACTTAGTCTTTCTTTTGAATTTCAGAACTCATTCTGTAAATCTCTTAGCAGTCTAACCTTCAGTTATTTCAACTGCATTGAAATTCATTTTAAAGTCCTATGAAAAAATGTGTAGTTCTATAATTTGTTTTGAGATTCAAAACTGAGCCAGTCATTACAGATAACGTGTCACTTAATTCTGCTGAGTAGTAGCTAAAATTTTAGTATAATGTATCAACTTTCTGAAAGTTGGCTTTGAACACACTTAAGTCTGTTGCCAATAATTCCTGGGTCCTCACGCACAGATAAGAAGCTTGAGGCAGGAGAGTTTAAGGATTGTTAGGGGAGGGAAAGCAACCCGTCAGAGATTAGAACTGCCCTGGAGGGAAAGCTGTGGGCAAGGTCTAGCACTGTTTTCAAGTGCTCTCAGTATCTCTCAGGCAGGTTTCTCCTTGAGGAAACAGAAACTTAGAAGTTGAATCACCTGCTGAGGAAAGGCGAGGAACTTAGATTCCAACGCAGTTTTGTCTAACTCCGAGGTCCCCATTCCTCTACTCAGCAGAGTCCTTGAGTCAGTCTCTGACAGATTAGGAATGATTTTCATTATACCCTTGTAATCACAGATTCAGGGTGCAGCAGCAAACAGGATGAATTACAACTCCTTGGCTACCTCTCTTGACCGTTTAGTTTTGGTTATAAGTGGTGCGTTTGGTATTTGTGTGTATTTACCTCCCAGCATGTGTATTTTGAGTGCAACTGTAAAAAAATGCTAATTTGTTTTATAGAAACTAGTAACACCATTCAGTCTAACATGAGAGATGTTAGAGTGAATTTTGTCTCACAAACATGGGGAGAGCCTTTAGAAACAGGCAGCAACCAGAATGGCCATTACATGGGGTAGCCGGGACTGGCAGGGACAGCTGGCCCCTAGCTGAGGGCTTCCTTCTCCCGCCCTGAACAGCCCTGGGACAACGGCTGATTGGCACTACGTGATACAGAGAGAGAGAGATTTCCCCATATTCTGCTTTCCTCCATGTGATGCTCTAACTTATGCTGCAGATTTAGATGAGCAGAAATAGAACTTTTTTTTTGACAAGTTGAGAATTCTTATTTCTACTAAAGGCAGCAAACTTAAACTTAGCCTGTCAAGGTATCTTAGCCAGTAACAATTTAATTTAATTTCTTTTTTTGTTTAGTCTACTCAGGAATTAAACAGTAGGCAAGGGCGGGGCATATTAATATCAGCTAAAACAATGTGATTGTGGGGAGAGAGGGGTATAAGGGAGATAAAGGGTAATGGAAAAAATACAATAAAAATAAAGAAATCACAGGACTGTTATGAAGGATCAGTTATATTCTTGTTACAGTATTTATTTTTTCAGTTATTGAATAAAGTATTATATTAATAGTAGATAATAGTGCATTTTTTCATATATTGATGTGAACGGTGTTCTCACTCAATTTATACTTTGTTGTTTCGACTTATTTTGGAGTAAGATGTTCCTTTAATCTTTCTTTTGTAAATGTGTTTCTCTGGGGCAACTACACTTGATTTTAGTCCCTTTTCCCTCACTTGTCACCTCCATTCATTTTCGTTAATGCATTATAGTCAAAATTCCAGCCAGCGTCACCTTTAACCTCCTAATGAATGAATTACTGAATCAAATACATTATGTTAGTCCTCAGAGTATGAGGCTACTTTCTGGGGTTTGACACTGTTGACCCATGCGTTTTTGACATTATTCTCCACAAACATTATTATCATCAGAATGATCAACCTACATGCAGCTCCACTTTGATGAAAATTACATAGGGGTTCCCTTTAACATCGAAGAGTAAATCCCCAGCTCATTTATATGTCACACAAGCCTCCACATTCTGGCCTGTTTTGTCTTTCCCAGCTTTACTGACTTCCAAACTCACCCTCGCATTCTGAGGTATCCATTGTAAAGATGTCTGCTAACCCCAAATTCCTAAAGACATTTTATGCACTGTGTTTTTCCACATTTGCTTTCCTCACCATACGTATACCTACTCATCTTTTAAATCTACTTTTAAACACCATTTCATCTTTTAAAATTCAGGTTGTGTGGCCTCTGATATAAAGCTTTTCTTGGCGTCTCCCATTCTAGGTAAAATTGACAAAGTAGTCCTTGATGCCCCAAGAGTTTTAGTACATTTTATGACGCATTTACTTCATTGGGTGTAAATACCTATTATTCTCTATGGGCTGTCCTTGTTCTTAAAGACAAGGACTGGCTTTTATGTATCTATATCTATTAGTGCCATGTTTTTTTTGTTGAATAGATTATCAGTGTGGGCAAGTAAGGTACAAAGAAAGCTTCTTCCTTGTTCTGTTTATCTCGAATGACCATGTGCTCTGACAGTGAGGGTACTTTGCGGAGGGAGGGGATATTGTTCCTTGAAGCTATTTCCATGCACCGGGAAGGAGTAGCTAGAATGGTCCCCATTCTCAACACCTTGTCCCCCGTGTGGCCACCCGTCATCCTTGAGAAGGGGAGGAAATTGACGGGAGGGAGGTGGCGGTGAAACAACTGCGGTGTAGGGATTTTGGGAAAGTTTTTCCAATGATCCGGTTTAGAAGAAGTAGAATGAGATAGAAACCCCTTTCAAACAGCAAGACTGTGAGTGTTACTCCATGGCTGTTCTCCCTCCTCCGAGTTCTAGTCTCTCATCTGGACACAAGGAAAGGGGTCTCAGGAGAGCTTTAAATCCCCTTTAATGTTTACCAGAGTTTGGGAACATAACTATCTGTTTAGTTAGGGGTTGTAATTGAAGGTAGGAAATGTGCAAAGTGGCTATTTTTGTACCCTTGCCAGCTACAATGCTAGGTTCTAAAACTCTTTAAACCAGCATTTCTCCAAGAATGTTTAATCAAATATAACACCCCCAGATGCCCCGCAGGGAAAAGAATTCCATGGTTAGGTTAGTTTGAGGAATACAGCTTACTCTATTCCTTGTGTAGAGTCTGGCAATGCACCATGGTATATCAAAGGCACTAGTGAACTCCATAATAAGATCTTGTTTGACCTGGAATTTTCCAAATTATTTGGCCACAGAAGTCTCTTATAGTCTCCTTCACACTGTGTTGGGGAAATTTCATTGACTTATTTGCATTCTGTCTCAATAAGTGTTTTTCACCAAAGTATTTTATTTCAGGGACAGTGGAAGAGGTAAACATAATCTGAGCCTCACTAATGATTTAAATCAGAGCTTCGTACGTCAAATGTAAAAAGTAAATAGTTTCTATGGCATTTGCTTCATTGCATGTGAAGCATATGTAGCTGTTGGAAATTGAAATTCATGTACTCTCATTTGTGTTTTAGAACGGGGGGTATATTAAAAAATAGAGATTGCTTGCAAAGTTCCTGTGTTCAGTTAAAAATACTGGCTAGTCTGCTCTGGCCAAGTTACTATTTGTATCCAAAAGAAAAGAAAAGAAGAGAAGAGGATAAAGAGGGGCAATAAAAGAAGAAAAAGGAAAAAAGAGAAAGGAAAAAGAGTAAGAAAAGCAGATCTGTGTTAAGATATCATGTTTTGGAACTTTCAATGTTTTCTCACATCTCTCTGTTTGCTATGAGGGGAATTGTGGAAAACTGGAAAAAAAAAAAAAATAGATGACCTTTATGTGGATAATACATCTCACCTTCTTTAATCAAGATATCATAAAAGAACACACAGTGGATCCATTCAGATTAATTTATTCTCCTGATGTCCTGATAGCATGATTCAGCGGTGATAAAATGGTGGGATCGGGTTTAGTTCTCTTTGCATCCCCTCCTGTTGAGCAGGTTCCCACACAATGAGTTGAATGCAGTTCTAAGAAACCATTCTTACTTTCTTCCTCTTCTCCATCAACTTCCTCAGTCTGGGGATGAGAGATAGTGTAATTCGGAGTAATCAGGCTCCTCTTGAAATCCCATTTCAGCAGAAAACTGGCTAGGTTCCTGGCCCAAAATGGAACACCTGCCAGACTGACTTATCCCCAGGTAACGTAAGAAGCACAGATGTCATCTGTCGCGGTTTACCTAACAGTGTATTTCCACTACCCACAGTCTGGCCTTGTCTCTTCCATTTCTGCCTCTACCTCTCACACAACTACAAAAAAGCCCTTGCTTTAAAAAAAGAAAGAGAAAAGAGCCCATATTCAAAGCTCAGAAGGCAAGAGAGAAGGGCAGGCCACTTGAGAAAATGTATTTTGTATTTCACTTCATTGGATCCCAACAGTTTCTGTGTTTTGTCTAAGAACACTTCAAGATGGGAATACTTTTTATATATACTGTGATTGTCATTGCTTAGCAGAGGAACAACTTGAACACCACTTTACACTTTGTTCAATTACTGTGTGGCTGTAAAGCTGTGCCACGCACGGCCCTACTAAAGTTTGAGCCGTGTCCTTTTATGATGCTGACGTGTTGTTTTATTATCACCGTCTTGTTCAAGAATATCCATACCAAAAGTCCCTAGAGACAGACTTCTGTTAATACTTGGGTAGTGGGTGGATGTCTCTATGGGCCAAGTGTCATATGGTAGAAACTCAAGTACAGGCATCTAATCACTAACTTGATGATGTTAGGCAGTTTTCTCATTTTTCAATGAAACTCATCTGTATGATTCTTTAAATCCTATCTTAATCTATTGCACTTATTTCCCCCTGTGTCCTGCATAGGCTCAGGTTTTTGTTTATCAATTCATTTATGTACTCAATATACATTTATTGAACACATAGTATATGTCATTACGGCATTGTATCTTATTCCAAGGATTTAAAACTGTAATGAAATACCATCTTCACCCATAAGTAACTCACAATCTAGCAAAGAGAAATTAAGGTTAATCAATAACTGATATACAATTTGAGATGATAAGAATAAGTATTAAGAATTAAATAGGTTTACATGTTGTCAGAATTAGGGATTCTAGAAGGGACTGATGAAAATATGAATCCCAAAGTTGGTTCTCTTCTCCCAGCTATAGTATTATTGGTTTCTTTTTATGTCTTCACTGAGGTATAATTATACAGTTCTTAAGATAAGTTTTCATCAGTGTCCCTCCATTTTTTTTTAGCTTTTCCTCTAGTTTTTTATGCTTCCGTATTTTCTGGAATCTCTTTTGATCCAGGGAAACCAAGCTGTTTAAATCCTTTACAACAACAAACAAGTGAGTTCATGTTACTCTACCTGCAGTTTTTGCTAAGTAGAGAGCTGAGTGAAGTCAGATGTTGCATTATTTGAGGGAATGATTGAGTATCTTTGATGACACAACTCTAGGAACATGTCTTTGTGGAAGGAAGAATTCGAGTGGGAGAGTCCAAGCCAATGCCTTCAGAAACTAAATTTATTCTACCTAGCTTCTCACATGCAGGCTTCACATTATTTAGATATTTCTTCCAAGGAAACTTTGGTTCAAAACACGGAAAATCATTGTGTTTGGTTGGTTGGTTGGTTGGTTGGTTAGTTGAAGAGAGGACAGTCATGAAACACAGCATGACAGGTTCTTGTTAAAGCAAAACATAAATATAAACCTTATTCCTTAAATCATGGACTATACATTGTCTTCTAGTAGTCACAACAATAAGCATTGTGCACATATCATTTAAATAAGGTTTTGTTTTGTTTTTTAAAGAATAGGGAGATAGATAAAATAGAAATTCAGAATAGAAAATTCTGGTATTCAGACATGGGTTCTAGACAATGCATTGTAAGATTCTGTCACACAAGGAGGTTTTGGTAGGTGGCACTTACTGAGATGGAGGGAATTGCTGGATGAGCCTGGGTGAAGTAGAGATGACTTCTTTAAGAAAATCTTTAAGTTCAAAATAAGATGAAACTATAGTCTTATTTAAAAAATAGCTTGTTCTCATTTATTTTGAAATGAGTAAATTTCATATTGTTAAATTATAACGGGGAAACATACATTAGCTATGTTAAAATACATTCTATTCTAGTTTTCAGTATGGTTATCTTGGCAACCCAACGTACATGATCTGTTCAATCCTCCCAAAATGAGAACCCAGATCATCATTCCTATGCCGCCGATTGATGTGCGCATTGTTAGCCTCCAGCTTCATTACCATTGTCATCCTCCTGCATGTACCTTAGTGCAGTTACTGGCCTTCAGAAAGTGCCTTCTGGGCCTGGCCTTTATACAGTTAGACTCACTGTGCTGTTTCTGTGCTCCAACCATGCTCATAGTCTGATATAGAAGAAATTTAAAAGCAGTAATGGTCCAGGGGCTTTTGAACCCACAGAAGCAATTAATCTAAATGAGACTTGATTAAGGAGAGTGAACTTGCCTGCTCTTCTGTTTCAGGTGAAAAGGATTTCTGAGGATCCTCCTTGCAAATGCCCAAACAAATTCTGTGTGGAGAGGCTCTCTCAAGGAAGATACCGAGTGGGAGAAAAGATCCTCTTCATTAGGGTAATGTTTTACTTTTCACTTGATATCTTGTCCTTTATGAAACTTTCAGGGCTTGAGTTGGGGGTTACAGGAAAATATGACCAATAACTAAGTAGGAACTCCCCCTCTGTTGGTTACAGTTGGACTTGAAGACATGAGTGATGAACGTTTTAAAACGTATCATATGTAATTACTGCTGAGGGCTAAATAAACAGAACTCTCTCTCTCTCTTTTTACACATATACACAGAACACATACCAAATAAATCATAGAGATGAAATAGAATGAGGAAAAGAAAAAACAACAAATTGCTTTTTGTTTACAAATTTGGTTTCGAAGGAACTATCACGCACACACACACAGATACACACGCGCGCATCTGTCCCCAGTGGGAAACAGAAATCAATATTCTGCCCTGGTCTTCCACATCTCAGCTTTGGGAAGATCATCCTGTTGGTCCTGGTAACTTTCAAATTATTTAAACATGATTTTTCAAGATGTTTGGGTTATGAACCAGAAGGAGGAAAATGAAAATTCATTACAATAGCATGGTTAAATGGTGACTGCCATTTCTTAGTTAGCTTTCTGGGATTGAATAAAGAAATGCGGACCTGTGCCAGTGAATGATTTGGTAATCTCTGTCCATTTTATATCGTGAACAGTTTAAGATTGTAATTAGTGGCTCAATAAAGTATCATTTCAGGCCTTTCACTTGTGATCTGTCTTGGTTAATAATCAAGAAACCTTAATCTCTCAAAATAAGTCTGCATCTTTTCATAAGACCAAGAATTCTTCTCAGAAAGAAGAAAATGAAAAATATAGCACTTATATCTTTCTAGAAACCTGCAATTGATAAGTACTTTCGACCTCATTATTTTACTCATTTCCTAGATAACAGTGATTGTGATTCAAAGGAGCTCTAGTCTCTTAATATGACTAAGTTACAAATATATTGCTTATTATTTGTAAAACAGAATGATTTGAATGTGTACATTTAGTACAGTCAATGGATAGTCTAAACAATACTCAAATCAGAGATGGCCGGTAGAAATTTTGTCTCTGTAATGTTTTCTTAATTTCAACTTTTGACTGAAAATTATTTTTAGGTTCAGCTTTTGTTTTTAAAGATTCAACAACATGGTATTTGAAGAAAAGTTTGATCATAATTAACCTTCGACAATAACGTCAATCATTTTTTATTTTAATCTAATTTAAGTCAAGGTTTATTGATTATGTTTTATAATTCAGATAATAATTGACATTTTGCTTTGGAATAGCCATGAAAGGAATGTAGTAAGTTTTATTACTAGGGGTTTGAGTAGCAGTCTGGGAGAATGGCCTCATAAGGACGAACAGTGGCTCCATTAGTGCCTACTGTTTTCTTGTTCCTTATTATAAGGATAATGTACAGGTTTATTTTAGCCAAGCTGCTCTGTGCCCTTTAGTACATTAAAAAATAGTGACTTAGTATTTCCAAAGATGTGTTCAAATTTCACTATGTTGGCTTTTCCCAAGTCAGACTCAGGCTCCTTGAGACTATTAGGCGCTTGAGCTCAGAATCAAAACAGGGTTTTAGTCATGTGAAAAATTATTCCTTTTATGATAGAAGTGTTGACAAAAACATTTACAAATTGATAAATTTTGTACTTATACACAAATTAATAAATTAGATACTTTTCTCTCTAATGTACCCTCATATCTTTAGGCAAAAAATAATTACACATGTTCATTTGTGTCTAGTCTTCCACATGTAGTCAATTGCCAAAATATTTGATATTTATATTTATGAATAACATAAATTTACATTGTTTTTTACCTTTAAGATATTTTTTGGTGTTCCATTTTACTTTTCAGAAAGCGGTTTTCCTTTTGGTAAAATCTGTGCATTGCATTGTTTATAGAGGAACTGAGATGTGCTTTACTGAAAAAAATTGCATAAACTTCCCTAGTGATACCATTTGAATTAAATGCCAGTGTGTTACAGCAAGACATACCGTGCACATTCAGTTTCATGCCTCCAGGGTCACAGCTAAGCCTGCAGTAAGCAGTGGACTGTAGCGTGGCTATGCACTGAATGGCCAGCAAGGCATGGCGTCTTGTCGCTATGACAGGTGCCTCTACCGCTTCAGCCACTCACTTTTTCTCATTTTGTGCTCTCCACATACAATTTGAACTTTTTTTTTTTAACAACAGATTTCACTTTTAAATTAACACGTTTTTTTCAACCCTTAATTTTAAAAAGGGACTCTTTATATAACTGCTTAAACTGGAAAGTAAAACTATTTGTTCCAAAAGGAAGATATCCATTAACATTTATTTATTGAAATTCTTAACGTTTGGCTTGCCGGGGGTCCTTTCCCACCCTGATGGAGGAAAATGATTCTAAAGACTCCTTTGTTGTTTCTCATTATCGACAGTGCCTTATAACCTCCCATTCCCTTGAGTTTAAGAGTTGAAATTTCACAGGCAAGCCCTGTGGCTCCGTTCATGGCACATTCCTCCCTTTTTCCTTCACTTCAGTGAATGCATAAACGAATAGCATCTCACTGATGAGTCTACACTTTGGCCACCACTTTTGATTTGTGGCAGGGACTGTATTTAATTCATTTTCCCTCTGCACTAAATCACTGTAAGGAACTGGCAGTTATTACTCAAAATAAAAACCCCTCAGAGATACAAGTTTTCAAATGATCATATGGTGGTTGCTGCTAATATCCTAACTTTATGGTTCTCTGAACACCGGATTAAGTAGTCAGCGCCCCTTAGTCACATTCTTACACACACAAGGGAAATGATCACCTCACAGTGTCTTCATTGAGGTTCTGTATTTCTTATATTTATATTTTTAACTTTTGCATATTTTATACTTTGTCATATCTTTTTTGAGGCCACTAAATATGGTCATATTTACTGTTGGATTGGCCAAAAAGTCTATTTAGTTTTTTCCATAAAATAAAAGACACGTTTTTGATTTTCACCAATAACTTTATTGATTTGTATATTTTGAGTATGTCGGCTATCTCCCATGTCAGCAATCTCCCATATAAGAGCGATTATTCTCAATTAATATCTTGATTTGATCGCTATCAACTTCAACTGGTCTACCTGACAGTGGAACATTGTCCAGTGAGAAACCTTCAGCACAAAACTTTGCAAACCACTTTTGACATGTTCGATCAGTCACAGCACCTTCTCCATACACTGCACAAATCTTTTTTTTTGCATTTCAGTTGTGTTTTTACCTTTCTAAAAATAATAAAGCATAATATGCCGAAAATGTTGCCTATTTTCTTACATCTTAATATTAAAATGACTACACAAAACTTCACCAATTTTGACGTTTTTTTAAATGCATGCTGATATGACAGCTGCTGCAATACAATCTAACAAACTTGTTTCAAATGCAGTTAAAGACAACTAAGTGCTACTAGAGCCATCTTACCGGAAAAACTAAACAAACTTCTTGACCAATCCAATACATGGTGTCTTAGCTTTTATCCCCTAGTTGTTTTTTTTTAATCAATCCTGAGAATAGCAGTGTCTTCATATAGCCATAATTCACCTGGCCATGCAAAAACAATTTTGTTTCTCAAGGCTGTTGTTAAGACCATTGACTTAGCTCTTATATAAAGATAGCACAATTATCAAAACAGTGACTCAGGAAAAAAGCTACCTCTTAGAAATTGTTAAATACAAGATTCTTCTCATAAGTCTGCATATAACATGTTTACTCTCATTTTAACAATTTCGTTGCTAACCAGATTCCAAGGTTTGTTGACAACACCCTATCACTTTACATATATGTGGTTTTATGATTATTATGTATATGAACACATCTTCTCTTTACACATTCAGACAGTTACAGTAGCAACAAGTATGAATGAAAATATAAGAACATGAGCAGATTAAAGAGAGCCCAGAAGACATTTTCTGCAGAGGATATCTTTGTTAAGCATATGTCTGTCTTATCTGTGGGTTTCTAGAAACTAGTGTATGAATGGATACTTCACATACATGACTATCTAGCATGTACTTACGTAAATGCATCTCAGTGCTTACGTAAGCACGCTTGTTTATATGCATATGTCTCCATTTAAAGGTGAGAGATTAATCTCTACCCAAATATAAGGAATCCAGTAGTGCAAAAGAAAACCTCTCAGGTTTTTTGACTGTGGCTTTTAGACAATCATGCTAATAATCCCTTGCCAAAGTGGGAATTCTCTTGTTTCTAGCTTATAAAAAATAATTTTCAAAGTCATACTTTTACTCCACATCTTCCTACATGGTTTTTGAGTAGTGGACAAGCAAGTTAAATGCTGCTAATTTGTTTCTGTGTAGTGAAGATATAAATTGACTTTCCTCCTAGATATATTTCATTTATTTTTCTGTGACTTTTGAATTTGGATAGTGATGATAAAACTCCCTTGTTGATTTTGTAGTAACAGAGATTTGGGTATTACCATTTAGCCATGCTGTATATCTTTTAAATGTACATAGATGGATCTCAGGCCGAATGTTCTGATTCGGAGGAGGATAGAAGTAAGAATTTTCCTTTGTTCATTTGTTCATTCAGTTCATTGGTTTCCACCCTGGCTTGAAGTATCAAGAAGTCAGTTGGCAATATGAACATGTGTAAGCTTCTGGGAGAGGTTTCTCAGAAGCCATAAAAATATCTATGCTATTTTATTTGTCAGCCTCAATTCAATGATGACAATATTCTATGTAAATAATCTTCAGTAATTTTAAAAAGTGATACCCAGTTAAGCAGTATCAGCATTACCTGGGAGCCTGTTGGAATGGCAGATTCTTGGTCTCCCCGACTTAGAAATCAAAAACTCTCTGAGGGTGGAGCCCAGCCACTAATGTTTTAATGAGCCCTTCAGGTGATTCTGAAGTTGCTGAAGTATGAAACCACCCATCGAAAAGAAAGAACGAATAGTATGAAGGCAGAAATTTGTTGTACATCACCACAGTTAGAAATCATTGCATCATAAAGACAATAACCATTCAGGTGCTAGAAA